AAAGGCTAAACATGCGATAATAGTTCGGAGAATTTACTTAAAACATAACATAATCGGCACGGCTACGACTTATACCACACATAACACGCATGCATGTTTAACTAAACTATCAAACGTTATAAACATGCTAATCTCGGTCAATAACCGTCGGGAGTTGCCTCTGATTAAGCTCAAGTGACTACTCTTTTCGAACTCCCATACTCGGCCGTGACCCTCCGCGTGTGTGCGACGCCGTGCGGTGGCTTGCGGTGCGGCGACGGACCACTACAACACTCGAAGATGCTTGCGTACTCCTGACCGATGAGTGATGTACTGATTGCCGTGAAGGACTACTGATACGAGTGCGACGATTGCTGCTTGCGATAGCCTACGGTGCGCGAACAACTTGCGGTACGGCGCAACGGCTTGGATGTGCGACGACGTGCGGAAAGCTCTCGGCGATTGCTCACGATCGACACTCCAAAAATCCTCACAAATTACTCTCTGTATTAGAATATTTAGGCTGAACTTATGCTAAAAATGATGGCTGAACGATGGCTTAAGCTTATAAAGAACATAAGTGAGGGAAATGGCTTATAATGAACATATGTATAGGAAATGGTGGGAAATTTCCTTCAACCCATCCTTATATACATCCACCGAAAGGGAAAAAATGATGAAGTGGTTATGTGTTCACTTGGGCTTAAGACACTTGTAGAGAGCTTGGATAATACTTAAATGACTAAGCATTATATTAACTCAAAATGATGCCACGTTAATGCTCCTTAATCATGAAGAAACTTGTGATAACCACATCTTTATCCCACTAAGAAGAAAGAAAATGGGACAATACCATCTTACTTATACATATATAATGTACGGCCTTTTTAGAGAATTAATTAGAAATGACCGTACGAATTATAACTAATCTTGGATTAATTATTAATTAATCCCTCAATTATGTTTAATAATTCAATTAAACATAATGCTTAATTACCAAAATTATTCCGAATGTAAACGGTACGTCGAAAATAAATTTCGGTAATTTCGACTGAAAAGACTGAAAATAATTAATTCCGAAAATTAATATCGGAACTAAAAATATAATTTATACTGAAATTGACGGGATATTACATACGGCTTTTGAAGGATTAACAAGGAAAATCTCACAATTTCCCACTAATCTCGGCATTAGCTTAGTTAAGCACGATTAAACATAATTATATACTTAATTATTTATTAAGCATAATACTTAATTACCAAAATTATTCCGAACATAAACGAAACATCGAAAATAATTTCCGGTAATCTTGACTGAAAATAATTAATTCTGAAAAATAATAACTGACAATATTATTATATCGGAACTAATACATGATTTGTATTAATAAACTAACGGGATATTACAATCCTCCCTCCTTAAAAAAATTCCGTCCTCGGAAATTCAAAACATAGCTGACTATTCATGAACTATGTACATGGAACATGAAAATATGTACATCAAAACTGAAAATCTGGAAAACGAGCGCGAATATCGGACTCCGCCTCCCAAGTAGCTCCGTGGCGATCTCACTGAATACGCACGAGGGGAACATCTCGCTTCCGGGGCCGACGAACCTGACGGTCTAGTACAGCTACCGGTCGCTCCTCGTACGAAAGATCTGGCTGAACCTGAATATCTGAATGAGGAATGACATGATCGGGGTCGCACACGTACTTACGCAACATAGATGCGTGAAAACATTATGAATGCCTGATAACTCGGGAGGTAGGGCTAACCGATACGCGACCTCGCCTACTCGCTCGAGAACCTCGAACGGACCAATGAATCGAGGGTGCAGCTTCCCTCTCTTTCCGAATCGGACGACTCCGCGAATCGGACGAACTCTGAGAAAAGCTGGCTCGCCAACCTCGAACTGAATGTCTCGTCGATGATGATCGGCCGAAGATTTCTGTCGAATCTGAGCTGTCTTGAGTCTCTGCCGGATCAACTTGACCTGATCTGCTGTCTCCTCGATCAACTTGGGGCCGAGGACTCGTCGCTCTCCGACGTCGTCCCAATAAAGAGGGGAACGATACTTGCGACCGTAAAGTGCTTCGTAAGGAGCCATCTGAATGGAAGAATGATAGCTGTTGTTATACGCGAACTCGGCGTACAACAACAACGACTCCCACTTAGCACCCCTGTCAACAACCAAAGCGCGAAGCATATCCTCAAGCGTCCGAATGGTCCGCTCTGACTGACCATCTGTCTCCAGATGGTAGGCTGAACTGAACTCTAGCTTCGTGCCCATCGCCTCGTGTAAACTGTGCCAGAATCGACTAACGAATCTGGGATCTCTATCTGATACGATAGTAACGGGCACTCCGTGGAGTCGAATGATCACACGAGTATATATCTCAGCTAGCTTATCCAAAGACATCTTCATCGAAACGGGTAAGAAATGAGCGACCTTAGTCAATCTGTCGACCACGACCCAAACAGCATCGTGATGTTCAGACGACCTCGGTAATCTCGTAACGAAATCCATCATGACTTCCTCCTACTTCCACCTCGGAATGGGCCGTGGCTGCAGGAGGCCGATCGGACTCTAATGTTCGGCTTTGACTTGCTGACAGGTAAAACATCTCCTGACGAACTCGGCGACGTCCTTCTTCATGCCTCGCCACCAGAACGACCCTTTCAGGTCGTGATACATCTTCGTGCTCCCGGGATGGGCTAAATAGGGTGCGGTATGAGCCTCTGATAAAATCTCTTTCTGCAACGCCTCGATTTTTGGGACCACGATCCTGCCTCTGAACTCTAGGGCACCATCGGCACCTAGCTGAAAACCCTCGACGCCTCCAGCGCGAACCTTGGCATCCATGACACGAACAAACTCTTCAGAAGCCTGTTCTTGCCGGATTCTCTCTCTCAGCGTCGGCTGAACCTGCATGGCACTGACACTGGCACTGACACTCCCTGAAATGGCTGTGGGAAGTGCATCGATCGCTTGAAGCTGCATCCGGGCAAACTCCTGAATCAATGGACTCTGCTGAGTAACGGCGTACGTCAAGTCACCCCTCACCTTTCAACTTAGGGCATCAGCCACGACGTTCGCCTTCCCCGGATGATACTGAATCGAGAAATAGTAATCCTTAACGAGCTCGAGCCAACGGCGCTGTCTCATGTTGAGCTCCTTTTGAGTAAAAATATACTGCAAGCTCTTATGATCTGTGAAAATCTCACAATGACCGCCGTAAAGATAATGTCACCAAATCTTAAGAGCATGAACGACTGCTGCTAACTTCAAGTCGTGCGTCGGATAGTTCTGTTCGTGCGGCTTAAGCTGACGTGAAGCATACGCAACGACCTGGCCATCCTGCATAACGACGCATCCCAAGCCCTGTCTCGAAGCATCGCTGAAGATGGTGAAACTCCGAGAAGGATCGGGAATAGTCAACACCGGTGCTGAATTTAATCTCCTCTTGAGCTCCTTAAAGCTCATCTCACAACGATCAGTCCATTCGAACCTCACAGAATTCCTCGTCAGCTGGGATAGAGGGAGGGCAATCTTGGAAAAGCCCTCGATAAACCTGCGATAGTAGCCAGCTAGACCGATAAAACTGCGAACCTCGGACAGACTCCTCGGTGTCGACCAGTTTTGAACAGCTGAGACCTTAGAAGGATCCACCTCGATACCTGCCTGAGTAATCACATGACCCAAAAAGGCTACTCGTTGGAGCCAGAACTCACATTTGGAGAATTTGGCGTACAACTTTTCTCGTCTGAGGGTTTCGAGAACTACCCTCAGATGCTCCTCGTGCTCCTTCTGGCTCTTCGAGTAGATAAGAATATCGTCAATAAAGACAATAACAAACTGATCGAGGTAGGGATGGAAAATACGATTCATCAGGTCCATGAAAACTGCTGGGGCATTGCTGAGACCGAATGGCATGACGACGAACTCGTAATGGCCGTAACGAGTCCTGAAAGCGGTCTTAGCGATATCTGACTCCTTAATCTTCAGCTGGTGGTAGCCTGATCGTAAATCAATCTTTGAAAATACACAGGCTCCCCTCAACTGATCAAATAAGTCGTCGATCCTGGGAAGCGGATACTTGTTCTTGATCGTCAACCGATTCAGATCCCGGTAGTCGATACACATGCGCATGGATCCGTCCTTCTTCTTGACAAAAAGAACGGGTGCTCCCCAAGGTGACACGCTCGGTCGGATGAAACCGAGTCGTAATAACTCCTGAATCTGCGCCTTAAGCTCCTGCAACTCTTTCGGCGCCATTCGGTATGGGGCTTTTGATACTGGACCGGCTCCTAGAATGAGATCAATAGAGAACTCCACCTGCCGGTTAGGCGGTCCTCCTGGAAGCTCGTCTGGAAACACGTCTACAAACTCACGAACTACTGGGACATTGTGAGGTGATCGTGCTTTCTGAGAATCATCAACAAGGCTCACCAGATAACCCTGCCAGTTACCTCATCGCAGCAACTTGGTAGCTTTCGCCATTGAAATGACATGAGGTAAAGAACGATTCTTGGAGCCAAAGAAAGTGATCGATTCATCTCCCGGAAGATAGAGAGTAATCTCCCGGTCATGACATCTGATATCTGCGTGATAAAAGAATAGCCAATCCATTCCGAGAATCAGGTCGAAGTCCTTCATCTCGAGAACAAACGCGTCGGTAGACAATACTCGGCCACCAATAAAAAGGCTAAGATCTGAAGCTTTAGTTGAGGTCACTATCTTTCGTCCCGAGGCTAAACTCACCTCGAGAGGATCGACAACGATAACGGCATGAACTCCGATGGAATCAAGACATCGTCGTGAAATGAAAGAATGTGTCGCTCCAGTATCGAACAAAGCAAAAACAGGAACATTATTTAACATGATCATCCCTGACATAGTACCTGGCTGCTGTTCGGCCTCTGCCTGATCGACTGCGTAAACTCGGGCCTGTTGTCTGCCCCTCTGCTGCTGCTGCTGAGGTGGCCTCTGCGCCTGCTGACGGGGCTGCTGCTACTGCGGTTGCTGTTGAGGCTGCTGAGGCTGCTGCGCCTTCTTCGGACAACGGTTCGCGAAGTGTCCGGGCTCGTGAAAGTAGTAGCATACATCCTGACCAAAGCGACACTCGCCTCGGTGAAGTCGTCCGCATGTGGGGCACTGTGGAATCTGCTGTAGCCTCCGCCGGGTCCTCTTGTCCATCGGGGCACCTTTCCCCTTCCTCTTGTTGTTCTTCGGTGGCTGAGCAGCTGGTAGGGCTAGCATCGGTGGAACTGTAGATGACTGAGCAGGGGCAAATGGTTGAGGACGATCACGGACGGCCTCCCTCCTGATGCTGGCGTCCACCTCCTGGGCAATCGAAACAGCATGAGCATACGTCTAGGTCCCGTGACCTACAATGTTATGACGGACTGCTGGGTAAAGTCCGTCAATGAAGTGTTGTGCTCTCTGGGCCTCCGTGCGAACCAAGTGAGGAACGAAAGCTGCAAGTCTAGTAAACTCCCTCTCATACTCGTCAACAGTACGAGTACCCTGCTGGAGCGATAGAAACTGACGCTCCATCTCTGCTCTGTAGTAGGCGGGGTAGTACTTCTCGCGGATCAGCTCCTTGAGCATCTCCCATGTACATCCCGCCTTCTTGCCGGGACGCATGCTCCAGTAGGCATTCCACCAGAGCCGGGCATCACCGGTTAGCTGAAGCTGAGTGCAGATTACGCGATATCTATCAGGACAATCCATGACCTCGAAGATAAACTCAAGGCCTTGAATCCACTCGTCCACGATACAGGGATCTCCCTGCCCGGAGAATTTCTCGGCATGATAGTCACGGAACTGTGCGACTACTGTGGCCTGAGTAGGAACTGGGTGATCGGGTTCCCTACGGGGCGGCATCTGAACATTGAGAAAGTTCAAAATTATTGAACACGTGATAATATTCTGACTGATTACTAAGGCACACAAATCTCTTGACAAGTTGCCAATAATGGCCGATAAATACTGACATGAATCCTGAGGAACTCTAGAGTCATCTCGGAAACTACTGAATTCTAGAGTCATATCTGAATTCTAAAGTCTTAACCTGATTCGAGCATCTTAACTAAGTTCTGATAAATAATTTCTGAGCATAAACAAAGTAATATGTTTATAACTGAAAACTAAATCAGCACTTACCTGTAGTCGGCAAGGAGTGAGCGTGAAGGTTCAGGTTTTTCTGAAAATTACTGACTGAAAACTTTTCAGAGACGCAGAAACGTGCTATGATACCAATTGTAACACCCTGACTTTTTACTGAAATCAGAGTACGCGTTTTTCGCAAATTTTCTGAATAAATAAATAAAATAGTTACTTTGCGAAAACTGATTCGGAGTGCTACCGTGAAAAACTTGACTTTTCTGAAAACCGATAAATTTTAAAACTGAATAATAAAACGGTTATAATATATTAACCGACTAGCGTCGAGTTAAAAACTGAGTTTAAGTACTGAAAGTTTTAGCGGAATAACATCGTGGTCAAAACACATATACATATCCACAAATATCCTGAACTGCCCGCCATCTCACTCCTCGTCCCCGACCCTGCGACCTGAAAAACATGAAATACGTGGGGGCATGAGCACTAAAACACTTGTGCTCCGCAGAAACTCATACTAATGTAAACATTGAAAATAATAACAATATCATGATCCTGGC